TCTGTGGAATCAGTTCTATACTGCAACACGTGGTGTTGCATGCAATGAATTCAAATTGACTTGAGTAAAATATATTTTTGTTTGTTTTTTAAGTTGCATGATGAAATTGGGAGACTGTCAATAAGACGTGAAGCACCACAGTGTACAAAGACACCAAAGGTTGAAATAGCAAGCATGATGTGAAAGGGAGACCATGACGACTTTAGAATGGTTGACATTTAAATAGGAGAAGGGATCCCACGTCTGTAGAGGTAAATTGATTTGAGTGGTGTTATAGTTGGATCTATTGTGGCAACTAGGCCAATGGGAACATGGGGGTGGAGTTTGGTTGGGTCACAGATTGATTGGAGGAGGACCAAAATAAATAAAGACAGCCAGCATCCCATCTTCCTTTTGCCCCCTGCTAATCTGACCAGTGCTGCTTGAGCTAGTTCTCTGCTTCAACCTGTGTGCTGCACTACCTGTGGGCCAAGCTAACCTGTGGATCATGTCTCTAGAGCTTGAGGCTCCTTTGAGACCTGCTTCTCCACATTGCTGATATGTGCAATGCTTGAGCTTGGGGCTGATGGATCCTGTTGCCATGCTTCCCTAAGCTCCCAAGCTACTGACAGTTGCTGACCCACCCTGTTGTCTGCTGCCTGAGAGCAGACTCTGCCTTGCCCAAGGAAGACTCTGCTGTCTGTTTCCTTGACCTTGGACCCAGCAGCCTATGTGAGTTGAAGGACTTCCTGTATATTAACAGTTTCACGAAAGTGAGTTGAACTGAGCCCTCTATACTGCTGTGTGGCTAATTAACTGCTTAAATATATGTTTTCTTTTTTTTTTTTGGAAGTCATTTTATTAGGGGCTCATACAACTCATCACAATCCATACATACATCAACTGGTTTTGTTTCTCTAGAGAACCCTGGCTGACATAGTGGTATGTTGAAGTGATGGGTTTTCGGGGGGAGAGGTGAGAGATAAATGAGGAGGTGGTGTTATGGGCACATCTGACCTTCCAATAGTTCGACTATGTGTCTCTTCCAGCACTGTGGGGATGAAACTGAGGGCCCTGACAGTGGCTGAGATAGCAGTGGTGGTGGTATTGTGGGGGGGGGGGAAGAAGCCTTCAAATGAGAAAGGGTACTGTGGGAATGTGGGTTAGTCACTATTTAAGGGGCAAACTTAGCAGTATTGGGGAGATGGCTAGATGTGGGTGCTAAAAGAAAGAGAGGATTCAAAGAGCGTTAAAAGCTTTCAGGAAACAATTGCCTTTGAGCTCTTTTCCCAAATTTGTGGTGATAACCTTTGACCTATGGATGCTACTAATGATTTTCATTGGCAGCTTTCTTTGGTCATCTTACTCTAATTTATTAAAAGAACTTGATCTGAAGCTAGAATGAAGTTCCACCCTCGTATGTCTTTAATTTTTCCATGGCCTATGAAAATTTATAGAACTATGGCTTCATTTCTAGTGGCTTCAATCCAGATGCCAAAATTACCCCATCACTGGGGCATCCCTTGGGTGGACCAGTGAACCTGTTATTTATTACAAGCAGCTGAAAACCATCAGCAAAATTCCCTTGCTGTGCCAACAATCACCCCGGTCCAATTTCAAGGTAACTCCAGGTTTCAGAAAGTTATGAATCTCAAAATCTGTCTAGTTGAACCCATAGTTGTATTTTTACACACATTTCCCATGTGAAAAAAGCTAGTCGGTTTCTTCCTTTCCAGACTTGTAAATGACTTTTTCTGAGATTGCAAATTATCTTTGAGTTCTGAGTTTTGGTGGAGCCATGTGGGATCCCTTTAAAGTAAAAGTACGAATTCAGTCTGGGTGGTAGACCCAGGTAGGAGAGGCATTATTCCAAAGGGTCTATTATGATGGGGCCCATATTGAAACCAAGAATTCTCTCCGACTTACTGTGCATTTAAAATGGACTCTTAACACAACTGTTAACATTTTTTTTACGACATCTGTTAAGCTTTCAGAAATCTCTAATTTCTGAGATTAAGGAAATAATGCCAAATATATGCTGATATTTTGGTTTTTAATGACATATTTCATGACGACGTAGCTGAAGCTACAAAACAGTAGGCGCCAATGACTTTCTTTCAGATCGCTATATTTAGCTGTTGCATCTGGTCTTTGTTGCTAAATAGTTTTTACTTGTTATTTTAACTACTCCATCAAATTGGCCCTTTGGTAGCCTGTCAGTTGTTGAATGGTTTCTTGGAAGATGTGGAACCCACTTCCCTAGTAGAAAGATCTGGGCAAGGATTGTGGTGTGAGGAAAGTTGGCATATATGTATATGTATATATACACATACACAGCATTATAGGATAATTGCACAGCATCTTAAAAATATTTTTATTTGAAACCAGTGATGTTTTTGGTGATGTATAAATATTATAAGCCAAGAAACTGGGGATGTATGCCCATCCTCTCGGAGTGTTCTGTACATAGGGGAAAGGAAAACAAGCTCGCTCCCTCTCTGTGATTCTCGGGAGACGTTATGTTAACCATTTGCTAAAAGTTGAAATTTAGGAAGACCGTTGGCTTGAAAGAGCATTCTTCACAGACTGCCATCCTGTGTTTGATGTCGATGTAGGTTGTTTAGCAACATATTAAACTGGTTTATGAAATGATAAATATGTGTTTCATTAATTCCAAAAGGAGCTTTCTGAAATGCATTTTCTTTGTAAATAATTACTGTCATTCTGTGAAATTCATGACTTTTTACGGTGGGAAGGGAGACCAAAAAAACCCCCCAATATTTACTCTTCAAACAATTTATGATTTAATACCAGCTCATCAAGCGATTGGCAAAACCTTATGAATCATTTGTAATACACCTTGGGGGTTTATTTTCTTACTCGTGGGAACCTGGGTAACCCCCACAATCTTTCTCCCATGGCTCTAAAACTTTGATCTTCTCAACCCAGGTTGCCAGCAGTAGGAGTTCGAGCACGTGTGACCTTTGATGTGCCCGTTTAACCTGGCTGGCGGGGGACCATAACGTGACCTTGTCTGACTTTTCTGTCCAGGCGTGACCGCAGAAGTTTTGGTGGTGACCTCTTTCGATGACCTTCGGAGAAGGGCCCCAGAAGCCAGAGGGAAGATTGTTGTTTACAACCAACCGTACGTGAACTACTCGAGCAGCGTGCTGTACCGAGTTCAAGGAGCGGTGGAGGCTGCCCGAGTCGGGGCGGTGGCCTCCCTCATCCGCTCGGTGGCTTCCTTCTCCATCTACAGGTTGGTGATGCTGTTCATTTGAACTCCTTCCATAAAAAGCAGGGCTTTCCGTCAAAGACAAGCCTTATGAAATCAAAGCCACCCCTTCAAATAAAAATACTGATACTTCATGGACCTTTTCGTCATCCAACATTGGATCATTGGTTTATAATATCTTCTTGGGCCATTTCAGGATTCCAAACCACATTCACGTCTTCCTTTCTCCATGCATGATGAGCCCGTAACTTTTCTTATTTGACGAATATGCGTATGTTATGCATTTTCGTTGGCAGGAGAACTGAATTCACGCCTGTGTTTCATCAAAGACTCCTCCTAGCTTCAGAGGGAGCTAGGCTGTTTCCCATTTTTGTGACAGAAGCGAAATAGAAATGAGTGGGTAACATGATGCAGGGGATGAGGGGCGGGCGTCTGTCAGGAGAAGGAAAGGCTGAGGAGTCAGGGAATCTGGGATCCATAGACCTGGCTGCGCCTCCGAACAGTTAGGTGGCTGTGGGAATGACCCTTAAACTCTGGGCCTCCGCTTGCTCCTCTATTAACCAGTGACCGGGAAGAATATAATTGTGTCATTACGGTACCCAATTGTTATTAGAATAACTGAGATAAACTTAAGAAAGGTACTCAATGAACAACAAAGATCTGTATACCTGCTTTGTAGTTCCGCGTGTAGACCCATTAAAGTTGTTTCATTTTCGGCAGGTGTGATTCAGGTAACATCACAGCACCTTATTGATTTCTAGTCTCAAGATGAAACTCAGTATCTCCATGGCTCAGATGTCTCAAATTTGACCTGCAGACATTCAACTCAGTTTACTAGCTACATCTGGTAGTGCTACCCGCAAATGATTAAACATTTGAGGAAGATGGATGAACGAAGCATCATCTTAGAGCTGTAGTCTGGCTTCTCTGAGAGGGGAAAAAGAGGGAAAATACTTGCAGGTAGACTGTACTTCGGCCTCCGGAGGGGAATTTTAGTACCTATTGTGAAGGGAAGTTGATTTATTCTGTACCCTGGAGACACTGCTGCCTGACCCTAATCAGCACCCTACACATTTGAAAGTGAAATGATTAAGCAGGAAATGCCAGCAACCAGGAAACTCCATCCGGGGAAGTTGTCCAAAAGTGCTGAGGAAAAGGGAGAGACATTTTTCTTTTATGAGGATCAGGTATCCTCCCATGGGAGGAAGATGGGGCATGTGAAAATCACTTGTTAGACATTTTAAGAGAGAAAAACTCATTGCAGGGATGTCATGGTGCAAAAATAATGTTTTTTTGGAGAGTCTTTAAAGGTCTCATGACGGGTGAAATAATGATTGGACCCTATTCTTTTGGATGGTTAACTCTTCCCAAGAGGGAAGTCCTAGCTTACTTCCCAGAATACCTCACTTACCCTTTGGAACAAGATCCCCAGCAAGCTGTGGCCATCCACTACGATTTCACTGGCCATGAGACCTAAATTATAGAGTTAGGCCGTTGTTATGTGAAACTGGGTGACTGCCAGGAACCTTTCGTTAAAAACTACCATCACAAGACTAATACATTTCCAGATGACTTAATGCACAGCAAAATACCAGGGTTCATTGGCATTTAAAAAAATATTTTCAAACTGGCTTACTGAAGACATCTGGAAATGCAAGCCACAACCTGGAAATGCCAAAGGCATTTTATCCAGAGTCAACCCAACGCAAACCCACGGCCCTCCAGTTGACTCACACTCAGCGCAGTCCTCCAAGGTAAAGTCGGACTGCCCCACAGCGTTTCCGGCGCCATCCGTCTTGAGAGACCCAGATGGTCACATCTTTCTCCCATGGAGTGGCTAGTGGGTTGGAACTGCCAACCCTTTGGTTGGTAACCGAGTGCCTCAGCCACCACACCACCATGGTTACCTTTATCCAGCACACCCTACTGCTGTCTTTCAACTTATACAATCCTAGGACTTAGAAATGTGGTGATAGTTGCTAACGTTTGGGGTCCACAACTTGGGATGGCATATATTAAATGGAGATTTTTCCTAATGTTTAGTGGTCTAGACAGCTTTTTTTCCCCATTGATTTTGTAGCCAAACATTTTAGCTGGACCCTTTACTTCGTAATACCATCCTTTCAATGTTTATAAATATACAATAACATTGCCCTTCTTTACCTAGTGCTTTACAATCATTTCCATGTTATACTATGTGTTCTGAAGACAAGCAGATAGGTCGAGTCAAGGATCATTCTTACATCCATTTTATGATAAGGAAATAAATGTTTAGAGAATTAGAATGCACAACTCCACATCCTAAGATCATTACACCTTCCATCTTGAAACAGAAAAACATGTTAAAATATGAAACAAACCTTGTCTTCTTGACCACTTCGAGCTAAGTCAAGTTTGCTTAATAAGAATTTCATATTTCTCTCTGTACTTCCTCACTTCCATTTACTCCGTGTGGCTTTTGTCTGTCCGGAAATAGAACTTGCCTAGTTGTCAGGCTGATGGGTATTTTTCAGGAAATCATCTTACTTGAACTTTTTGAAGTACTTGCCATTGTTGACAGCTCCCTCAATTTTGAATCCGTCTCCTGTTTGGTTCCCATGAGTTCTTCTGTGTTATACTCTTTTGTTCTTTCTTCTTTTCCTTCCCTATCTCTTCCCTACCTCTCTGATTCCTTAGTCTGGATATTTTTGGGGAGCAATTCCACGTGCTTATAGTTTTAACTACCATGGCAATTTCCAGACCCACCTCAGTCTCAGTTTGTTTGAAAGTGAATTCATCTTCTCATCCTTTCACCTGTCTGTTCTGTATTTGTTACCTCGGTGAAAATGACATCATCTACTCTGTCTTTTAACCAAGATCCAAAAAACCCACTGCCATTGAGTCTGTTCTGACTCACAGCAACCCTGTAGGACAGAGTAGAACTTCCCCTTTAGGGTTTTGAGACTTTAAATGGGTTTTTACCCCCTTCAATTAAAAAACTTATTTTTAATAGTAAATTAATGAGATTACATTTTGAACCATCAAGTTTGTAGTGAACAGTTTAAATGACTAATCATCATACCCCCAAGTTTACCTTTCACCAGCCCCTTGATCACTCTTTCCCTCTTGAGGGTACTGCCATCCATCACATCAAAGTTGACACCTATCTCCTGTCTATTCAGTTACCTTCTCATCTCTCTTTGGCTTTCCTGCCCTTGGCAACAAGACTTGGAATCTTTAAAGTAGCACACAACCTTATCTGTCTCACAGGGAGTGGCTGGTGGGGTTGAACCACTGACTTTGTGGTTTGCAGCTCGGTGTGTAGTACTCCACTATGTCATGGGAGCTCCTTCTAAGTCAGCTGGCCTTTGATTCAATAAAGAAAAGTAATAATCAAAGTCTAAGTCAGCAGATGGTCTTTGATTATTAGCCTTCTCTTCCTTTATCCATCATTTCCAGTAGTTGGTAAGTTTTTTAGGTCCCACTCTTTATCGGTCATTACATCAAGATATAATGAGCAGTTTTCCCCCAAATCACTTCCTATTCCAATAGCCAGAAGTGACTTACACTCCCCAGTGTACCACACTTCCAGAAGGGCCCATGATTTCATGTGTTTCTTCTTCTTCCCTTCATGCCCTGTCTGTCTCCTTCGAAGTTTAGACTCAGTGTTTCTTCTTTGAGGAGTCCTCCCTGATATGCATGCAGCTCCAGTCCAGGTGAGCTTTGGTTTTCTTATGTCATCTTCACATGTTCTGTATCACAAGTCTTAGGGTTCGCTTGGGTTTTTGTTCAGTAGGGTAGACGAACTGCTGTAACAACCTCAAGTCTCTGTTGCTTAACAGAATACAAGTGTACTCTCTGTATACAATTTAAATTCATGCTTAGATCATCATTTCAGGGGATGGATTCCGCAAATGGCCTTCCATACAGTAATTCAGGAACTCAAGGCATTTTCTGTGCGGTGGCTTCACCACTCTTAAGACCTTGGAGTTGTCTTCATGATCCTCCTCCACATTTTGATAGACTCCAAGGAGAGGAGGGAGAGAAGGGAAGAGAAAAGTAGAGGGTGGATATGAATGAATGAATAGGAATGATCAAAAGGGAGGATGTTTGGAGATAGGCTTGGTTCTAGCAAACATCTCTTCTGCTTACACTCTACAAGAAAAAGTACGGTCATGTGGAGACTGGTCGATTTGATTAATTTTTATGTTCAGGGTGAAAAGATAAGAGTTTGCTGAACAAGGAGGTAGTGTGTACCTGTTGCCTATATCTATTCTACACTCTAAGTTCCATAACCAATTAACTGCCATCAAGTTTATCCCAAGGCATAGGGACCCTGTATAGGGTTACCTGTTAGGGGATCAGACAGCCATACCATTCTCCCAAGGAGAGACTGGTGAGTTTGAACCACTCACCTCGAAGTTAGCACTCCAATGCGTACCTACCAGTGCCACCAGAGATTCGTAAGTTTATGAAGTCCTACAGTGTATGCATATTTTTATCTCTGTATCCTGATTAGTATGTTTAATACACAGGAATCACTCAAGAAATATCTACTGATGGAATGAATTTGTTTAGTAATGGTGACTGGGTTCTTTAGGATTAATTGTGTGACTTGATTCGTCTCATGACTACCAAACGAGGTAGCCTTTATGTATAGTAAGTTCACAGTAACTTGCATTTTCAGAGCATTTTACTCCAAATTGGGAGGAAAATTAAGGAGGCCTAATAACAGAGTGATTAAGTGCTTGGCTCCTAATAGAAAGGTCAGTAATGTGGACCCACCAATTCCTCCATACAGAGATGTGAGAGTCTGCTTTTTAAAGATTATAGCTTTGAAACCCTATGGAGAAGTTCAACCCTGTCCTATAGGATCATGAGAAGTCAGAATTGACTTGATGGCAATGGGTTTCGTTTGGGATTTGGTCTGAAGGATAAAATCTACATGTCCAATATAAGACATATCCTACACATATTCTAGGAGCCTGAGCCCCAGTAGTATAATGGTTACAATTTGGGCTATGATCTTCATGGTTGGCAGTTTT